CAAGCACTCTACCACTTGAGCCACATCTCCACTTCTGGTTTTCTCATGGTTTATGGGAGATGAGAGTCTCACAGACTTTGCTGCCTAGGCTGGCTTTGAACCACAATCCTCAGATCTCAGCCTCCTGAGTAGCTAGGATTACAGTTGTGAGCTACAGGCACCCAGCTTTGATCTGTCTATTTTAGCTTCCCTAGTGTAACTAGGATGACAAGCATGTGCAAGCACACCTAACATCTTTCTGTTAAGGTGGAGTCTCATGGACTTTTTGTTTTTTTTTTTTTTTGGTCAGTTGTGGGGCCTGAACTCTGGGCCTGGGTGCTGTCTCTCAGCTCTTCAGCTCAAGGTGAGCTCTCTACCACTTGAGCCACAGGGCCTCGTCCAGCTTTTTCTGCTTATGTGGTGCTGAGGAATCGAACCCAGGGCCTCATGCATACAAGGCAAGCACTCTACCAATGAGCCACCTTCCCAGCCCCTCATGGACTTCTTTGTTTAAGCTGGCCTGGAACTATAATCCTTCCATCTAAACTTCCCATATGTGTTAGGATTATAGGCACACAATACTTGCACTCATCTATCAGTTGAAAAAGAGTCTAATTAACTTTTCCCCTTTGGCTAGCCTCAAACCACAGTCATTGCTTCTTAAGTAGCTAGGATTACAGGCATGAACTACTGGCACCTGCCTTATTTTATTTGTTTTTGAGACAGAGCTTCACCTCCACCTTTGTCCAGGCTGGCTTTGAATTTCCAATTATTCTGCCCATGCCTTCCAAGTAGCTGAGACACACATAACCAATGCCCAGTTTAAATGTTGCTCTTCTTTCTTGAGCTATAGATTTAGGAAAGAAATTGGTACATGACTGACTGTTTCTAGTACTAATGAATAGCAACAAGATCTTACAAACTCTCATTTGAAAGTGGTAGGAACTGCAAACATAATAGCTGTCAATGGATGCTAGCAAGTTCTGAAGCCTCTCAGATCAATCATTGAGAAGGCCCTTGCAGGGACAGAGATTTCTTGACCAAAGCTGATTTTCTTTCTTTCTTTTTTTCCCCTTTATATGTATGTGTGCCAGTACTATGGCTTGAACACAGGATCTCTTTCTTTTCTTTTCTTTCTTTTTTTTTGTCAGTCATGGGGCCTGAGCTCTGGGCCTGGGCGCTGTCCCTCAGCTCTTCAGCTCAAGGCTAGCACTCTGCCACTTGAGCCAGTGCCACTTGCAGGATCTCTTTCTTACTTGGCTTGATTGCTCACAATTGGTACTCTACTACTTGAGCCATTCCTCGAGGCTTGCATTTTGCTGACTAATTGAATATGGAGTCTTTCATACTTTTCTGCCTAGGCTGGCTTCAAAACCATGAGCCATTGGCATCTGCCCTGACTTTGTTTCTTAGCAGGTTACTCTGTTTTCCCATGATCACTAGCTTCATCCACTTGACCTTTTTTTTTTCTATTGTCGTCTCTGACATACCAAAAATGGACAATAAGGATTATACTCCCTTAGGAAAATGAAGATCTTTCTTAGTCTGTTTCATGACAAAAATGCTTGCAAATCCAGAGGTCAATTTGGTTTTGAGTTGTCATAGATCCTCCCTCCCTTCTTCCTTCCTTCCCTCTCTCCTTCCTTCCCTCTCTCCTTCCTTCCCTCTCTCCCTCCCTCCTTCCTTCTTTCCTTCTTTCTTCCCTCCCTTCCTCCCTCTTTCTCTTTTTCTCTTTCTCTTTCTTTTCTTTTCCTTTCTTTCTTGGATCCTGGGGCTTAAACTCAGGGCCTGGGTGCTGTCCTGAGCTTTTGTGCTTAAGGGTAGCACTCTGCCATTTGAATCATAGCTCTACCTCTGGTCTTCTGGTGGCTAATTATGGATGAGAGTCTCAAGATGTTCCTGATTAGTCTAGATTTAAACTATAGTCCTCAGATCTCAGCTTTCTGAGTAGTTAGTATTAAAGGCATGAGCCACTGGCATTTGACTTACATCATAGTTTCTTTTGGGAGTATAATTTCTTCCTTTCCTTTCCTTTCTTTTTTCTTGTTTTTGTTCTGGTCATGGGGCTTGAACTCAGGACCTAGGCACTGTCCCTGAGCTTTTGTTCTCAAGGTTAGTACTCTACCACTGGAATCACAGCTCTACTTTTTGGCATTTTATGTTTAATTAGTGATAAGAATGTCTCTATCACCTTTCCTGCCCAGGAGGGCTTGGAGCCAGATCTCAGCCTCCTGAGTAGCTAGGATTACAGGGGTGAGCCACTGGCATCTGGCTGTCCACAGCTCTTTTCTAATGATTCTCCTGATATTTATTGTATAGCTCTGCTTTATTGGTCCCACATTTCTTTTCACTTGATTTTGATATAGATGTTTTTGCTATAATGTTATGTATGTATGACTTTCCAAACTCTCATGTTCTGCAAAATTGAGCTGTAATTTCCTTATTTATAATTACAAAAACCTACTAAATATATCTACTTAGATGTCAAGTAAACATGATGGCATTTATTACCATGGCTTTCTGATATTCCACTAATGCAAAAGTAATTTTTTTTTAAAGAAGAAAAAATTTGTGAGGACAAAATGAAGAGAAGAGCATAGCAAAGGCATAAAGAATAGTAATCATACACAGTGGTAATGTAAGCAATAAATATTGATTTCTAAAAGCTCAGTGACAGTGCTCTGATCCTGAGTTCAAGCCCCAAGACCAAAACCAATTAATTAATTAGTTAAAGTTAAAATCAACCCCAAAGTTTTATAGTGGATATTAAATAGAAATAATAATAACACTTTTACAATGCCCATGCACATGGCAGGCACTCAGTGAACACCAATTTCTTTCCTTAGCTAGACAGGGTCCATGTTTGTAGTAGTACTTGTATGCCTCAACAGTTACGTGGTTGGCTTAGCAGCAGTGTGAGCTTGTCAAAAAAAACCAAATCATGTGTCCTTCTAATTTTTTTTTTTTTGTCAGTCGTGAGGCTTGAACTCGAACTCTGGGCCTGGGCGTTGTCCCTCAGCTCTTCAGCTCAAGGCAAGCGCTCTACCACTTGAGCTACAGCGCCACTTCCGGTTTTCTGGTGGTTTATTGGAGATAGGAGTCTCACGGTCTCTCCTGCCCGGGCTGGCTTTGAACCGCGATCCTCAGATCTCAGCCTCCTGAGTAGCTAGGATTACAGGCGTGAGCCACCAGCGCCCGGCTCTAATTTTTTTTTTGTGCCAGTCCTTGAGCTTGAACTCAGGGCCTGAGCACTATCCCTAATGCTTCTTTTATTTATTTTATTTATTTATTTTTTGTCGGTCGTGGTCCTGAACTCTGGGCTTGGGCACTGTCCCTGAACTCTTCAGCTCAAGGTTAGTGCTCTACCACTTGAGCCACAGCACCACTTCCATTTTTTTCTGCTTATGTGGTGCTGAGGAGTTGAACCCAGGGCCTCATGCATGCAAGGCACGCACTCTACCACTGAGCCACCTTCCCAGCCCCCTAGTTTTTTTTTAATGGATGGTTTTACTTTTCTTGGAACCATATCAACCTGATGCTTATGGTTTCTCAGAATTGAGACTTAAGCACATGGACAAATGAAAACCACCCAGTTATTGAGATTTAGTGAGTTATGATACAATAGCTTTTTCAGTTTTTTTTTTTCAATTTTCAATTTTTATTTTTGTTGGTCATGGGATTTGAACTTGGCCTAGGCTCTATCCCTCAGCTTCTTTTGCTCAAGTCTAGCCACAGTACTTCTCAGCCGCCTGAGTAGCTACGATTACAGGCTTGAGCCAGTGGTGTCCAGTCAATACAATGGATTTTAAAATGCTTACCAACTTTTTTTGGGGGGTGGGGGGAGGGTCCAGTCATGGGGCCTGAACACTGTCCTTCAGCTCTTCAGCTCAAGGCTAGCGCTCTACCACTTGAGCCACAGTGCCACTTCCTGCTTTTTTCTTTTTGCTTATGTGGTGCTGAGGAATCGAACCCAGGGCCTCCTGCATGCAAGGCAAGCACCCTACCACTGAGCCACCTTCCCCGCCCAATGCTTACCAACTTTAAAATCACTCTTTGGACTGGGAAGATGGCTTAGTAGTAGAGTGCTTGCCTTGCATGCATGAGGCCCTGGGTTCGATTCCTCAGCACCATATAAACAGAAAAAGCCGGCAGTGGCACTGTGGCTCAAGTGGTAGAGTGCTAGCCTTGAGCTGAAGAGCTGAAGGACAAGCCCAGAGTTCAGGCCCCACAACCGGAAAAAAAAAAAAAATCACTCTCATATACCTGAAAAGAATGATATGTACACCTAAGTTTAAAAGTTATTCAAGGGCTGGGAAGGTGGCTCAGTGGTAGAGTTCTTGCCTTACATGCCTGAGGCCCTGGGTTCGATTCCTCAGCACCACATAAGCAAAAAGAAAAAAGCCAGAAGTGGTGCTGTGGCTCAAGTGGTAGAGCGCTGGCCTTGAGCTGAAGAGCTTAGGAACAGCGCCCAGGCCCAGAGTTCAGGCCCCACGACCGGACCCAAAAAAAAAAAAAAAAAAAGGTTATTCAAAACCAGGGATATTTTCTTTCTCTTCAGTAGTTATGATAATGAGCTGCTTTACTTCCATTGTCTTCAGTACTGGTCTTAACACCATGATTCATGAGTCCTTACTGTGGTGGGCATGGTGGTGTTTGATGCTGAAAGACTGCTGCCCATATGAAATTTCATGAAGTTCGTGGCATCTTGCATGAAACTATACATGCCTTGTGGACAGAGATCATATATCCTACCATATCTATATATCCTGTCACATCTAGGATAATGAATGTCATGTCATAGTAGATATACTTATTTTGTCAAACTTTGGTGAACTGCACAGATATGGCTCTTACTGTTGTAGAATTTACATATTAACAGAAAATGCTGAACTATTTATACAGCATAAAGTGTTTATATGTAAGGAGTTTAATAATTTTAAGCTATGTTGTAAAAATGTATGATCTGAGAAGCAAAATATCAAAGACATCTGATCTTGTTTTCTCTTTGTTTTTCTTTGTAGATAAGATATTCCAAGTCCCTTGCAGTGCTCTGCAGAAGAAAATTATGAGTGCTCTGTTCTTACCATGATACCAATCCTGTTTGACATGCCTTGGTGCTGTGACACTGCAAGAATTGCACACAGGCTCCAGGAATGTTTTTTTTCACTTAAGTAGTTCTCTGTGGATGGAAAGAGATTTGAGTCTTAATAATTACCTTGTTTTAAAGCTATTTCTCTATAGTCTGAACTGCTTGGGGCCACTTACCAATGAGCCACACAGCCAGTTCTTCTCAGGAGCTGGTTGAAAACTGTGCTGTGCATGTAGCAGGGATGGCACAAGAAGACAGCCGTCGTGGTCAGATGCCATCTACTTTTTATCATGGTGCCAACCAAGAACTTGACCTGTCCACCAAAGTTTATAAAAGGGAATCAGGAAGCCCTTATTCTGTGTTAGTGGACAACAAGATGAGCAAACCACATCTCCATGAGACAGAAGAGCAGCCATATTTCAGGGAGACAAGAGCAGTGTCTGATGTGCATGCTGTCAAAGAAGACCAGGAGAATTCTGATGACACAGAAGAAGAAGAGGAGGAGGAGGAGGAGGAGGAGGAGGAGGAAGTCTCTTACAAAAGGGAGCAGATCATAGTGGAGGTAAACCTTAATAATCAAACGTTAAATGTATCTAAAGGGGAAAAGGGTGTCTCTTCTCAGTCCAAAGAGACTCCTGTTCTTAAGACGAGCAGCGAGGAGGAAGAGGAAGAGAGTGAGGAAGAGGCCACTGATGACAGCAATGACTATGGAGAGAATGAAAGGCAGAAGAAAAAGGAGAAGCTAGTAGAGAAAGCCAGCGTTACACAAAGGCGAACACGGAGAGCTGCCTCTGTTGCAGCAGCTGCCACTTCCCCTACTCCCAGAACTACAAGGGGGCGTAGGAAGAGTGTAGAGCCACCCAAGCGTAAGAAGCGGGCCACAAAGGAGCCCAAAGCACCAGTCCAGAAAGCTAAGTGTGAAGAGAAAGAGACTTTGACCTGTGAGAAGTGCCCCAGGGTGTTTAATACTCGCTGGTACCTGGAGAAGCACATGAACGTAACTCACAGGCGCATGCAGATCTGTGATAAATGTGGCAAGAAGTTTGTCCTGGAAAGTGAGCTGGCCCTTCACCAGCAAACAGACTGTGAAAAAAACATTCAGGTAGGTCTCACCACCGTGAGGGCAAACTTTCCAGGATAGAACCTGGCTGTTCAGATTCACCTGGTGTCTACCAAGAGAATAAATACAATAGAGGCTGAAGGGACAGATTTCACCAATTTCTCATTTTAGAAGCTGCTGCTTGGGTCTTTTCAAAACAAGGCTTAACATTGTATTTCAAAAGCATTACACTTAACTGACGCTGGACTAGTGGGAACCCAGGCACACTGAAAGGGGGATCTGTGAAAGTTACTGACCAGGATGTAAAGTCAGCACCGACTTTGCACTGAAATTCAGTGTTGTAGGACACATAGGATTATTCATTCTGGCATCTCTGTCAAAGTGTGAGATGTTAAGTAAAGGGCAAGAGTAGAGAAAGGCCCCTTTCAATTTAAAAGGATATGAGGTCCTAGTACAGCTGATTACGGACAAAAACCGTAATGACTCAGACCGGTGGAAATGGAAGATCTCCAGGAGTGAGTTTGCTGTCACCAGTGGAGAGATGGCAACCCTAAATTTGTCAAGAGGCTGAGCCCATGGGAATATGCAGACTTTAAACAGAGGCTGAGCTGCTTGAAAATATTGCTCACCTGGCAGTGATTATTATAATTATATAATTATTATAATGCTACTGTACAGTGTTGTTGAGAACCATGGTATTCAAACCAGGCTGATACCTTGAAAGAACTGTATTATGATAGGGTAAGAAATGTACTAGTTACATTATGCTAAGTGGATTGTGGCTGTATTGGTTTGCACTTACGTTTTCATATTAATGAATGTTCACAAAAGGTAAATCTGTTACTATCTTCTTAAGATATGTACCATAGGAATATTTGTACATATTTAAGCTAACCTTCTAAAGTATAATTTGTTTTACTTTTGTTTTTTGGAGTGTTGCTAATATTGGTAGTCATCTTTAATCTTTTCTTCTATTGTGCTTAAGACCAGCTCCTTTATATTAAAGAATTTTTTTAAACATTAATTACATTTGCTAATTTGACTTGTCAATTGTGACTTGATCTCCACTCACCAAGTAAATAAAAGAAGACTGAATCATGGCACCCATGTTCTCCAGCACCCTCGCTCTGAGCACGAATTGGTTGCAGCCCGTCAAGCCAACACAGGAGCATGATGCAGTGCTGCGCCCTAGGGGTCAAATTTGGATTCCGTGATGACTCCTTACTGAAAAGGTCTTCCTGATCTGTAGCTATTGGTTTTTTTGTTTTGGGTTTTTTTGTTTTGTTTGTTTTTAACTTGAATTTTCTTTGAGTTATGAAAACATTTAACGAATCCCCCACTTTTTTTAAAGTGACCTCCTCCCTATTCCTTGTCATGATATGTTTAAACTTGGTCCTTAAGTTCTAAGGTTCTGCTAAATCCTTCACATTCCTAAAAGAACATTGTGCTTTGTTTTTGCAGATAGAGTCAAATAATTCTGATGACCTAGTAATAAAAATCAAAACTCTTCCTGAAAGATGGCTTATAACCTGGTGCTGGTGTTTCAAATATATAATCCTAGCAATTCAAGGAGTTGAGATCTGAGTTCAAATCTGAGATCTGGTCATGGTTCAGAGCCAGTCCAGGCAGGAAAGTCTGTGAGACTCCTATCTCCAGCTAACCACCAAAAAGCTAGAAGTGGAGTTATGGTTCAAGTGGTAGAGCACTAGCCTTGAGCACAGAAGCTCAGGGGCAGCGCCTAGGACCAGCACAAAAAATAAAGAAAGATGGTTCATAGGACTAATTTATCCTTTTCAGGAGCAGTATCCAACCAGAGCCTTACCTTCCAACTGCTGTCAGAGTTCTGTTTTCTGCAGTGATGGTGGTGATCAAGATATCTTCACTTTCAGAGAATACTAATCCACCCCCTAAGAACTTGTGTCTGGAAGGTTACTAAGAACTCCTCGTATTGCTTTGTTTTAATCAGAAATGTTATATTTTGATAAATGTTATGCTCAATATTCCAGCCCATTAATGATCCATAATGATTTGCAAAGGAATAAGCAATATGACTGTATTTCCTACTCATGTATGTAACAGATCTAGAACTGAGGTGTAGGGGAAAAGGATACTGAGGCTAATGATTTAGAGTATTATTATCTGCTGCCAGAGTACATTAGATTTAAGAAGATATAAATTTTGATTATTTGTGTTAATGAAGTCTCCAAATGCATTTTCTAAGGAATGAAAACATTTTATACTCCTATAGGTATATAAGCATTATATGTGTGTACATATATATTGTTTCACCTTATTTTTATTTATACTAATTTAAAACTAGTTTTTGTTCTCTGAAAAATACTTGTTAACTGAATAATGATATGTATTTATGAAATAGTCATATGTGGTAATCCACATACTAAATAAACTTGGTTGTTTTTGCAGGTTCTAACTTAAATACTAACTTAATAAATAGAAGGCATTTGATATTGGTAGAATTTTCCACATCATCTTGTCTTAGTTTTTGCCATTGTTTTCATACTCCCAAAGGGTCTCTAAAAAGTGTATCTTGGAAACCAGAACTCAGAGATATTGGTGTTGGAATCTGGACTCCGTGGATGGATAGCATTTGTTTGGATTCTGGCCTTGTGACATGAATCTGAAATAAATCCATTTCATCTGACAGGAGGTCAGTATGACTCTCTACAAGCCTCAGCAAATAAAAATTATTTTTGTTTATCCTGCTTAGTGTGTTTCCTGTAACAAATCATTCAAGAAACTTTGGTCCCTTCATGAACATATCAAGATTGTCCACGGATATGCAGAAAAGAAATTTGCCTGTGAAATCTGTGAGAAGAAATTCTACACCATGGCCCACGTACGGAAACACATGGTTGGTAAGTTTTTTCTGCTTCTCTCACACCTATAGTTTTACCTTCCTTTTTGGTGTGCTTTATGCTCTAGCTTGGGCAGGAAATGAAGAATTGTCATACTTACTCAGTTTTGACATGTTGAGACTAAATACAGCATGTCTTTGTTAAACGTCACAAAATCTTCTCCACCCAGATTTCTTTTCAACATTGCTATTTATTTTTCTCTTCAGAACATTGCTATTAAAGTGTTACTAATCAGGGTAGAGAAATTTAACATGGCATAATTCCTTACAATATGACATATGTCTTTTCCAATTTGATATTTTGGGTGGAATTGTTTTGAGTACAAGTGTCTTTTGTGTTGCAGCACACACAAAAGACATGCCATTTACATGTGAAACCTGTGGAAAGTCATTCAAACGCAGCATGTCGCTCAAGGTGCACTCTTTACAGCATTCTGGAGAAAAGCCCTTCAGATGCGAGGTAAGGAACATGTTACACACAGAGTAGAAACAGAGCCAGCAACATAGATAGATAGTGCAGCAATGAGAGCAAGGTTCTGAGACACAAGACATAAAGCTGCCTGCCACCTAAGCTCCTCATGCACTCTTGCTGCTAGGAAGAGAAATGTCCTATTTAGCACATACCTAACTCTCTTAGGTTAATTTGGGAATATCATGTAATGACTTACCTTTCTTTTCTCAGTGATTCAGAGAAGTGGAATGTGCTTCAATGATAATTATATGAGAAATTTTCCCTTTTATTTATAACTGCAGAAACAGCAAAGCCAAAATAGTTGACTCAGCAGGTTCTATTTTGAGTATGAAAAATAAACCCAATGCTAGAGACTGTTAAAGTGGGCTCAGGTAAAACTTCTGTGCTTGGCATTCAAATATCTCCACTGTGTCTAATGCAGAACTGTGATGAGAGGTTTCAGTACAAGTACCAGCTCCGCTCCCATATGAGTATCCACATTGGGCACAAGCAGTTCATGTGCCAGTGGTGTGGCAAGGACTTCAACATGAAGCAGTACTTCGACGAACACATGAAAACACACACTGGTAAGGATTTCTTGGAAAAGGTACAGCTTTGTCTCAGGCACTTGGTGATAATCATCTATGGGTCTGTTTAAAATTTAAAACACAAATGTGCATTCTAAGTGAAATACAAACATATATAATATTACATATTATATACTATAAAACAATTTAATATTATATAATGTATAATACATATTGTTTATTGCATGTATATGCATATATGTGGTATGTATGTACATTATATATACGTTACATATGTATACATATTTATATGTGAGTATATGTGTATGTATATATACATACACATATACATACACACATATACAACATACACAGAATTAAAATACTGAAAAATTTTACTTAACTAATTTTTTTTTTTTGCCAGTCCTGGGGCTTGAACTCAGGCCTGGGCACTGTTCCTGGGCTTCCTTTGGTGAAGGCTAGCACTCTACCACTTGAGTCATGGCACCTTTTTTTTTATTGTCGGTCCTGGGGCTTGAACTCTGGGCTTGGGCGCTGTCTCTGTGCTCTTCAGCTCAAGGCGAGCACTCTACTGCTTGAGCCACAGCACCACTTCCAGTTTTCTAGCTGTTTATTGGAGATAAGAGTCTCACAGTCTTTCCTGCCTGGGCTGGCTTTGAACCACAATCCTCAGATCTCAGCCTCCTGAGTAGCTAGGATTACAGGCGTGAGCCACCAGCGCCCGGCTCATGGTACCTTTTTCTGTTATGTGGTACTGACCAGCACTTCATGAATGCTAGGCAAGCATTCTACTACTAAGCCACATTCCCAGTCCCTCAACTAAAATTTTGTGTGTATATGCCAGTACTGGAGCCTGAACCCACTTGAGCCACAGCTCCAGGTTCACCAGCTTCCCACAAATAGTCCTTTTAAAAATTGACTTAAAGCCCAGCACTAGTGGCTCACACCTGTAATCCTATCTACTCAGGAGTCTGAGATCTGAGGATTACAGTTGGAAGCCAGCCCAGGCAAGAAAGTCTATGAGACTCTTATCTTCAATTAACTAGCAAAAAGCTGGAAGTGGAGCTATGGCTCAAGTAGGAGAGTACCAGCCTTGAGCCAAAAAACTAAGGGACAGCACCCAGGCCCTAAGTGGCCCTAAGTTCAAGCCCCATTACTGGCACACATGCATACACACAAACATGCCAGAAATAGAGCTATGGCTCAAGTGGTAGAGCACCAGCCTTCAGCAAAAAAGCTCAGGGACAACACAAGCTCAAGCCTCAAACTGGCACAAAAAATTACAGGAATCGAGACCTTGAGTGAAAAAAGCCAAATAATACTTCTTATATATTTGTTATAATAGCCATCATTTATTATTCATGTATGTGCCAGTCATTTTAAGTACTATATATAATACATAGTATGTGTTATACTATAATAATAATATTATATTTATTATATAGTATAGTCTCATGAACTTTCTTGCTTGGACTGGCTTTGAACAGCAATCCTCAGATCTTAGCTTCCTGACAGCTGGTCTGTAGTAGCCCTTAGTATATGAGGTATACTGGACTTTCTTTAACATCAATATTGAAATAATTCTGGTGTGTCATCTGTTTTATTTTTTTAATATTGTTGGCAATGTCAAACTTTTGGAAAGCCTTTGGAGTGCAAGTTTAGATAAATCTGGCTCTGCCATTCACTAGCAGAATTGTGAGCCTCTTGTAGTATCTGAGAAATAATAGGAGAAAGGTTAGCTTAGAAAAGAAAAGGGAGGTCATTTCAGACTGTTGCAGTAACATTTACAGACAGCAGTATGTTTGGATGGGAACTAAAGTCATTGTGGGAACTGACATTGATGAAGCTGTTTCTTTGCAGTTAAAGAGAAGTGATACATGTCCTATCTAGGGAAGCTGACCAAGCATCAGGCAGGGTTCCTAGGATAGTATAGATACAGGGTGAGTATAAAGCAGAATGCTTAGCCAGGCACTGGTAGCTCAAGCCTGTAATCCTACCTACTCAGGAGGCTGAGATCTGAGGATCACAGTTCAAAGCCAGCCCGGGCAGGAAACTCCGTGAGACTCTTATCTCTAATAAACCACTAGAAAACCAGAAGTGGTGTTGTGGCTCAAGCGGTAGAGCGCTCTCCTTGAGCTGAAGAGCACAGGGAAAGCACCCAAACCCAGAGTTCAAGCCCTATAACCGACAAAATAAATAGATAAATAAAGCAGAATGCTGCTAGATACTTGTATCAGCAACAGATCTAGGTGTCTTGACACAAGGGTAAATGAAGACCTAGTTTCTATCCTCACAGAGCCTCTGGTCCAATAAATAATGGTGATAATGAGAGGAACAGCATCTAAAACACACTTGAGTGTCTATTATATTAGATACTGCTCTAAGCATTTGTGTTATCTGTCCCAATAAACTAGTAAGTGGGTTATTTTTCAGATGAAGAACCTGAAGCTCAGAGATTAAAATAACTTACCAAGCAGTCAGACTCCACACTGCATACTTATTCTGACAGAAACTTAATACAAGTAATAAAATAATAGGATCTATAGGACATAAGTGTAAGCACCATTCTAGGACCTGGTTGTCAGTTTCCTGGCTTTCTCACTATACTTAAAGAGATCTCAATCAAAGGGACTGATAGATGATGAGATGACCAGTTCTTTATGAATGACGGGTAATCCAAAAACTCTGCACATATGTGGGGGTTTAAACTGGGGCTGGGGCTTAAACCCAAAGCCTAAGTGCTATTCCCTGAGATTTTTGCTCAAGGCTGGCCATCTACCAATTGAGCCACTGCTTTACTTCTGGTTTTCTGATGGTATATTGGAGATAAGAGTCTCACAGACTTTCTTTCCCAGGCTGGCTTTGAACCACTATCCTCAGATTTAAGCCTCCAGAGTAGCTAGGATTATAGGTGTGAGCCAGGCTTACTTCTGGCTTTTTGATGGTTAATTGGAGTTAGAAATCTCACAGACTGGGGCTGGGAAGGTGGCTCAGGCTTGCAAGCCTGAGGCCCTGGGTTCGATTCCTCAGCACCACATAAGCAAAAAGAAAAAAGCTGGAAGTGGTGCTGTGGCTCAAGTGGTAGAGCGCTAGCCTTGAGCTGAAGAGCTGAGGGACAGTGCTCAGGCCCAGAGTTCAGGCCCCATCACCGGACCAAAAAAAAAGAAAAAGAAATCTCACAGACTTTCCTACCTAAGCTGGCTTTGAACCACGATCCTCAGATCTCAGCCTCCTGGGTAGCTAGGATTGCAGCAGGAGCATCCTAGTTCAGAATACTTAATTATAAACTGAAAATCGTCAGAGTCAGAGAATTAGAGCAATAGAAGATAACTGAATGCATGTGAATATCATACTTACTGAACAAAAAAGGCCATCAGTTGTAAGGCAAATTTAATTTATATACAAGGAAAATTTTGTAAATTAAACAATGGCATGCCATTAATTATAAAGTGTGTGTGTGTACACACACACACACACACACACACACACACATGCCTACTTCAAAAATGATAAAATGTGTGATAGAAGGCCAGGCACCATTGACTCATGTCTATAATCCTAGCTACTCAAGAAGCTGATACCTGAGTATCCCAGTTCAAATCCAGCCCAGGTAGACAAATTTGAAAGACTTTTATCTCCAATTAACTAGCAAAAATTCAAACATGGAGCTGTGGCTCCAAGTGGTAGATTGCCAGCCTTGTGCAAAACAGCCAAATGAAGCTGGTGCCTGTGGCTCATGCCTGTCATCCTAGCTATTCAGGAGACTAAGATCTAAGGATCACAGTTCAAAGCCAGCCTGGTCAGGAACATCCGTTGGACTCTTATCTCCAGTTAACCACCAGAAAACTGGAAGTGCCACAGTGACTTGAGTGGTAGAATGCTGGTACTTGCCTTGAGCTGAAGAGCTCAGGGACAGTGCTTAAGCCCAGAGTTCAAGCCCCACAACCTATCCCTCCCCACCATACACACACTCAAAAAAAAAAAAAATAGGCCAGACCAGACGCTGGTGTCTCACACCTGTAATCCTACTCAGGATGCCGAGATCTGAGGATCGCAGTTCAAAGCCAGCCCAGGCAGGAAAGTCTGAGACTTGTATCTCCAATTAACCACCAGAAAACCAGAAGTGGCACTGTGGCTCAAGTGGTAGAGCACTTACCTTGATCTGAAGAGCTCAGGGACAGCACCCGGGCCCAGAGTTTAAGGCCCACAAGTGACCCAAAAAAAAAAAAGTCTGGGAATGTGGCTCAGTGGTAGAGTGCTTGCCTAGCATGCATGAAGCCCTGGGTTCAATTCCTCAGTACCACATACATAGCAAAAGCCAGAAGTGGTGCTGTGGCTCAAGTGGTAGAGTATTAGCCTTGAGCAAAAAGAAGTTCAGGGACAGTGCACAGGCCCTAGTGCCTAGGCCTTGAGTTCTAGCCCCAGTACTGGCACCAAAATTAAAAAAAAAAAAAAAAAAGATATGCCAGGCTCTGGTGGCTCATCCTGTAATCCTAGCTACTAAGAAGGCTGAGATCTGAGAATCACAGTTCAGAGCCAGCCTGGGCAGGAACATCTGTGAGACTCATATCTCCAATAAAGCACCAGAAAACTGGACATGGCGCTGTGGCTCAAGTGGTAGAACACTTGCCTTGAGCTGAAGAGCTGAGGACAGGGACCAGGCCCAGAGTTCAAGTCCCATGACCAATAAAAATAAAAAAGATGATTGGAGGGGCTGAGAAGGTAGCTCAGTGGTAGAGCGCTTGCCTTGCATGCATGAATCCCTGGGTTCAATTCCTCAGCACCACATAAGCAGAAAAAGCCAGAAGTGGCGATGTGGCTCAAGTGGTAAAGCACTAGGCTTGAACTGAAGAGCTCAGGGACAGCGTGCAAGCCCAGAGTTCAGGCCCCATGACCGACCAAAAAAAAAAAGATGAATGGAAAAAATGGATTGAAAAAAGGAAAACAGCTAGGCTCAGAATTTTGAAAAAAGGAAAACAGCTACGCTCAGAATTTATCCAGAAAGATGAGCATTAGTCAGGTGAAAAGCCTCACAGTGCAAGGGGGATAATGGACAACAGAGGATGAGGGAAATGAGATAGTCTGGAAATGGTGCTAGTAATCAAGCTCATCTCTTGGGGAAGTGAGGAAACATCAGGCCTACACAGAAGAATGATGAGAGGTGTCTGTATTCTATTAGAATGAGAAAAAGAAGAAACTGGACTATGATATAGAGTGAAGAGTATTTTCTCCTACGTATAGGAAGCACTACTAAAGTAGAGGAAACCAGTAAGAACACTTCCTTGATGTATGCAGAAATGCACCTACAGGTGTGAAGTGCGATGGTTTACATGTTGGTGCTAGACTTCAGAGTTTTCAGTTCTTTCTACTAGCAGGTAGCTTTGAACAAATCTCCTGATTTCCCTATCTGTAAAATAGGAATACTATTCTGTGTGGTTGCTGTGAGGTCCACCAAGGTTAATATAGATGTAAAACGGTTAGCCTTGAGCCTGGTGCACAATAAGACTCAATACATAGTAGATCAAGCACATCTATTAGAAGGAAAGGGAGTAGCCCTTGAAGTGTTAGGAACAAGGCTCAGCAGTAGATGTTAATGTTGTGTGGCTGAGCAAGCCACACAAACCACGCCTGCCACCTCTCTTTCCCTCCTCCCTCCTCCTTTGAGCCAATCTAGGTGGTAGATGGTATCAAGTTGTGCTTGTGTCTACTTTGACCTGTTGGGTCCCAAGTTGGAGGGCCTCTTGACTGGATTATAAAATTCTGTGAGGAAGAGAATCTATAACCTTTTTATTAACACCAGGATGGCAGGAGAGCATACTTACCTCCCAGTATGTCAATGTGTTTTTGTATCTGTGCTAACTCATCTCAGGAGAGAAGCCCTTTATCTGTGAAATATGTGGCAAAAGCTTCACCAGCCGCCCCAACATGAAGAGGCACCGCAGAACTCACACAGGCGAGAAGCCCTACCCCTGTGATGTGTGCGGCCAGCGCTTCCGCTTCTCCAACATGCTCAAGGCACACAAGGAGAAGTGCTTTCGGGTGACCAGCCCTGTGAACGTGCCGCCCACAGCCCAGATCCCACTCACCTCTGCTCCAGCTGGCCCTGTCCCTTCTGTCCCTTCCGCAGTGAGCACACCGGCAAGCCCAGCCCCTCCAGCCAGTGTGAACCCAGTGGGCTCTCTTCCCCCTCGGCCTGTTCCCCACCCCTTCTCGCACCTGCACATCCACCCTCACCCTCACCACCCACACCACCTTCCTATCCCTCCAGTCCCTCATCTGCCCCCACCGCCAGCTCTCTTCAAGAGTGAGCCTTTAAACCACAGAGGCCAGAGTGAGGACAGCTTTCTGCGGCACCTGGCTGAGAAGAACAGTTCAGCACAGCACCACTAACACCACCTCATAAGTGCAGTCTCCCAGCGTTCCCACGGTGAGTCTCCTGGCGAGAGGGAGCTGGTGAGCAGCCACAGTTCTCAGGCTCTCCTCCAACTCCTTCAGGGCTTTGCCACTGCGTTGGTACATCAACAGACCCAAGGAAATGAACCAGAAGATGACCTTATAACTCTTAGGGGGAACTATCCTCAAATCCAGGGGAACCATGGCACTAAAGCCCAATTTGCTTGCATTTTCTGATGACTTTTATAAATTTCAGATTCCCAGACTTGTGGGTTTTTATAATTTCATATCAGCTGATGAGATATGCTTGCTTTTATATCCTGGACTTCTCCTCAAAGAGGGGATAGGCCTGGTTTTCCTTTGTATTAATCGGGAAGGCTGTGAGATTAATCCAGAGCATTAATTGTATCACTGTGTATTGTAATTAATTCTTTTCAGCTTTGGTGCTGGCTACAGAGTTGAGCTGGCCATGTTTCACAGTATATCAAGCATTATAGAGAAAGATGGAAGTTTTCTTCTTTGTGTAGCTCTCTTAACACTTTATTTTACTACAGAAATTATTTTAGAGTTTTTGTATAGACTTCATTAGTAGTCTGTTTCTAAAATGAAATGTATTTCAATAAGCGGTGTAATTTTTTTCAGTGTAGCTGAACCTATGTTGTAAAATAGAAAAATTTTTTATAATCATCAAAATGTGATTCTTAAAGATGCATATAAAACTTCTATAATTCAAAGTTATTCTTAAATCCGTACAACTCAAAGGTGCTTCAGAGACTAGGTGTATCTAAGGGGGTCTCCAGACCAGGTCACTGCAGAAATGAAGTGTCACTTTCAGGACATGGCGTAAGTACACAGTCATGTAAAAAAATCTCTGCTCAGCACTCAGATGTTGGTCAGGCTCACTGATGTGCTGCTACCCTCTGGGTTCTTTTGGGGCTCTGTTCATGCATTAAGTGGGCTGATGGACAGGGAATCAGGACCCCTTTGGGGAAGCCACCTAATGATTGGCTGGTTTGAATTTGTGTGAAGTAGTTCACTGAAGAAGGAAGTACTGGAGATTTTTTCCTTTCAGTCACATCTGTTTCTTACTTCCCTTAGGAGCTGTGTTCATGTTTAACTTTTAGGAAAGACAGATTGGAGTCTATTGTTTGAGGTTGCTTTATTTTTCTAGAATTATTACAAGAAGCTAACATGTTAGACTGAAATCACAAACATGATACAAACTGGCAGTGGCTGAGACATTCAGATGAGAAGACAAATTGGTTATGTATTTTAAAAGGTCTGTGGTATATAAAATGTGGGTAATGTCCACAATTTTGAGCTATTTTAATGCAGCTAAATGAGAGTGAAGGAAAGCTGCTGTTCTGCTGCCCTGTCCTCTGCAGATAGTTCAAGGACACCAGCACCAGTGGTGAGGAAGAGAGCAGCACCACTTATACCTCTAGGCTGCTTACTGTTCAAGTTTGGGCAACTTCCAAAGATCACCAGGAGCAAATAGGAATTGGTTATAAGAAGGCTAAATGAAAGGACTAACATAATGGTTACCTATAGATGACCAAATTTATCCAGACTCAATATAGCTACAAATTTTATATTCCTTCATCTCAGAAAACTAAGTATTAAGAGTAGATCACTTCCCTCCTCACCCCAGCCCATCTTTTTGAATCTTCAAATTCTTTAATTTCTCTTTCCTCAGACTTTGGTGTATGTGTGTGTGCATGCCAGTACTAGGACTTGAACTCAGGGCCTAGGTGCTGTCCCTGAGCTTTTGTGCTCAAGTCTAGCTTTCCACCACTTTGAGCCACAGCTCCACTTCTAACTTTTTGGTGGTTATTTGGAAATGAGAGTCTCGTGGGCTTTCCTGCCTGGCTGGTGTTGAACCTTGATCCTCAGATCTCAGCCTCCTGAGTAGCTAGGATTACGGGTGTGAACCAATGGTGCCCAGCTTTTCCTCAGACTCTTAATCATTGTCTGAATGAGAACCTTGACTTATCAAAAACAAATAAATATTAAATGTGCAGATATACATTAAGTACTTTCTTACTGATTATCTGTGTAACAGGGGATATGGCGCTCTCAAAACTGAGGTTAGGTCCCTATGTGTAAGTACCACACTCTCTTTAGCTTTTCAGTTTAATAATTCCAGATTCTTTTCCTGATTTTGCTGTCATCTTCTATAATGCATAAGAAAATTTTGCAGCAAGACAGAAAAGTATCTCAGGATAAACTTTTCTTCCTGGTCTTGAGCGTAAGTTTTAATGAATGGCATTTAAAATATTTGTATACATTCTTCGAGCCCCACATATCTGGTAGGAAGTTAATTCCTTGCTTATGACTGTTATAACTTTAAAGATTGTCTCCCCTTACCTCCACAGTCTCCTTTGAGTTCTATGACAAGTTTGTAAATCCACACTTTCATGTTGACATACCATTATCTCCTGATCAGGCTTGCAATATCAAAACATTTTTTTTAAAATATGTAAATTGTAGTTTAGTTAATTGGTTATACCTTATTCTAAATAAATTTATAATACTGGGTAGAAATTCTGGATTGTAGGGGCCATTAAATCAACCATTCTATGAGGTGTAATATAATTATACACTGGAAGATTCAGGTAGACATCTTTGATTTTTCTTTTTCACTCAAGTAACTATAGCCATAAGAAAATATCTGCTACACAGGAAAACCATTAGTAAGCAAATTACAACCACCATTCTTAATAGAAGCAAAGGAAAAATGAATTTTTAAAAAATGAGCATTGTCTGTTGTCACACAGTGTAATTCTTAATGAAACATATTGTGGAACAATCTGAAGACTTCCTTTTATTTTTTTTCCTGGATCACTACACCGTCCCTAACTTGGGATTTGTGATCTTCAGGAAAGCTGCTCAGATTATGATCCTGGACAGTGTCATAATATAATGAAAAGTAAAACACATTATGAATAGTCAGAACAGCAATGCTTCTAAATATAAAAACTATAGGATTAAGCCTTAAATATATATATGTATATCAGGTTTAACATGCTGAAGACTCAAACTCAGGGTTGAAAATTTGGTTGGGGTCCTCTTTTAAGAAAAGTTGCTTTGTGTGGTGTATTTTTTCCCACATACACTACAGTGCCCATGAATCCTTCAGAGTCTGCATACATGTTTATTGGGGGTGGGGAGAATGACTTGTGAAGAGTTTGAGTTCTCAGCTTTTATCTGTACTTTCGTCTTTTAAAGACAATAAAGGCCACATTTCAGCATTATGTAGAATAGTAAATTGAAGCTTTCTCTCATTATGTCACTTTATATTGTCTTCAAAGGTTTATATCAATACTAAAGTTTCTTGGTTGAGGAAGATTCTCCCAAGGGCTTTCTAGAGAGTTGCATTACATTTCCAGTGGTCAGTTGGTTTGTTTTCATATCTTCTGTTCTTTTCTCATAGCTGTATCATTCAAATATAAGCCTTTTAGCCTTAATGAAAGATTGTTGCTCTCTTAAATTGTTAGATAGGCTCATGCTAAGTTAGGTTTTAAAATTTGAATGAAGAAAACAAAGTTTTAAGCTGGGCTCCGGTGGCTCATACCTGTAATCCTAGCTACTCAGGAGGCTGAGATTTGAGGATCACGGTTCAAAGCCAGCAAGAAAATCTGTGAGACTCTCATCTCCAATTAACCACCAGAAAACTAGTAGTGGTGCTGTGGCTCAAGTGGTAGAGGGCTCACCTTGAGCTGAAGAGCTGAGGGACAGCGCCCAGGCCCAGAGTTCAAGCCCTACAACTGGAAAAAAAAAAAAAAAAAAAAAGAGGAAAGGAAAGAAAAGAAAAAGTTCAAGACATGGGGCTTCAATTCTACATATATGATTTCTTATTTTTAGAGTATAGGGAGATTGCCACATAAAACTTCAGTATTGTTCAAAGAAACTTTTGGAAGTCATTTCCTTAATCTTTTCTAATCCTATGCATTAACTTTTGATGAGGCTGACCATGTTTCTGTAGGCATGTCATCTTTTTAAAGACTCCCTTTGTCAAAGGTAACTCTCTGTTATGGTTAGAATTTGATTGTTCCTAGCACACTAACCCCAAGCAAAATGCTCTGAAGAGATATTTGTAAACTTTGTTTTTTACTTCTTGAATTTCAATTTCAATTTTTCTTTTTGCTGATATGGATATTTAGTTACATTTTTTATTCCACTGGAAATTTTAAATTTGAGACTAGAAAGCAGAGTTAGAAATCTTTTTGCTGGAGCAGGAGGCTCAAGTGTAGAGCACCTGCCTAGCAAGTCAGAGGCGCTGAGTTCAATACTTACTACCATCAAAAGAAAAAAAATTTAATCCATTTGCAGGTGTCTATTTGTATTACCCCATTTGCAGATTGGGTTAGTAAACACTCTGGGTAGGTAGGCTTTTATGTGTTTAAAAAAAAAAGAAACTAAAAGCTATGGTAAGAAAAGCCCTTCTGTTTGAGCTACTGAGGGGAAAAAAGATACACTTGTACTGCATTGTGGATCTATCTGGTGAATTTCTCAATGCTCTTGCAGACCATGTGAGGACTAGTTAAGAGTTACATGAAGCATTTTATCAGCTAGCTACCTTTTAAAAGTTGTCAGCTCACTTGGACTTCTCCCATCTATAAAATTGAGTAAGTAAATACTGGGTTTTAATTTTTCCTTTGCTTAAGCCAAGATAGGAAAATTCTCCAAAAGATCATTTTTATCAGGAGAAAGGCCACAAGCCATTAGGGAAATTGGCATTATTATGCAATAACAGCGCCCTACCTAAGCTGCTTTCTTCATCTGTAGCATTTATGAGAAATAAAGCTGACCTCCCAACCCTGGACACTACCTCGAAAAGCAAACAGACACTCTGCACCCTCCATGGAAGCCATAGCATTGTCATCAATAGATCCACTTTCACACTTCAATACTTTTTTACTCTAGAATTTTTATAGACTTTCTAATCAAATCTTTTTGTCTTAGAGGATAGGTTTTGCAAGAGTCAAAGGGGGGAATTAAACCCCTTAATTGTCTCAACTTGGAAGCTTTAGCTTCAGCAAACTCGTTTAAAGAACCAGATAATGCGCCACTTATCTAATTCTATATTTAAGCCAGAGCTACTTTACAGAATTGCATATCCTGAAAGCAAACTTTCCTTGTCTCCTAGTAGAAGCTATATTATTGTAAGAAATCACTTAACCAAATGGGTTTCTTTCTACCATATTGATTCTGTGTATTACTTGATGATACATTTGTTCACAATGTTCCTGGAGTTACTTTTAGTTCTTTAGGAAAGAGAAGTGAGAAATCACCTTTGTCTAATTCTCTGCTTTCTCACTGCAGCTACAGTCTCTCACTCTGTCCTTGAGTGCCTTCAAAAAGCCAGCATCCTACAACATTCTTTCCCTGGGTTCTATCCTACCTCTGGCTGCTTTATTCTGCATGATATAGGAATTCACCCTCATTCCAATTGGTTTAACTCCACAAACTAGCTACAGCCTTGGACAAGAATTCTAAACATGTTTTGTCCCTCCATGTAATAGTGTGTGTGTGTGTGTGTGTGTGTGTGTGTGTGTGTGTGTGTGTGTGTGTGTGTGAATTCTAAACATGTTTTGTCCCTCCATGTAATAGTGTGTGTGTGTGTGTGTGTGTGTGTGTGTGTGTGTGTGTGTGTGTGTGTGTGTGTGTGTGTGTGTGTGTTATTGTCAGTATATATCAGTCCTGGGGCTTAAACTCAGGGCCTGGATGCCGTCCCTGACCTTTTTCTGATCAATGCTAGCATACTACCATTTGAGCCATAGCTCCACTTCCAGCTTTTTGGTGGTTAATTGGAGATAAGAGTCTTATGGACTTTCCTGTCCAGGCTGGCTTCAAGCAGCAATCCTGAATAGCTAAGATTACAGGTGTGAGCCACCAGCACCTGGCCCTCCATGTAATTCTTACATAACATTTTCACTTTTATTTATATCGTATTTCTTCACATATTGTATCTAGAGTTGAGAGAGTCCATCCTTATCTTACTCTTACACTTGTTTTCCTTTACCAGGAATTAGACATTCCTTTAAAAATGAAAAGTCATCGTGTGAGTCTTTTGAACACCTTTTTCTCATCTGAAGTCTTCCGGCTGCCTGCCCTTTTCAATTAAGCATCCTGAATGCTGCTGTCGCTGTGTGTCATCCCTCTTCCAGAAACATTTTTCAAGGTTGTACCCACAATTTTAGCCAAATGAGTTTTTTAAATGCCCTCTGGGTTTAACAAAATTC